CTAGATTTTAAGCCTGCTATAAAAACATAATTTCTAGAAATCAGGTAAATGTGAGAAAGGTTAGTGAAATTGTTGCAGGTAGGGAAATGGCTTAGCCAATGATAATGCTAAATGATCTTTCCTTCTAAAGCTAAGAGAATTTAAATTTGAGTCCCTGTAAGCCCCTATAGATGCAAGATTTTAATGGAAGGAGTTAAGAAAAATGGATATTTTATACTTAGGTTTTTTTTTTTTTTTTCAATTCTCTTACCCACTCAACACAGATTCACCAAGCAGCTTCTATATACTAAGTCCTTGAATGAGAAAAACACATTAGCGGCTCTACTCATCACAGGGGATTGTATTATGTTTACTAGACATTGTGCAGCCTGAATCCTCTATCAGGCTATGGTTTCTGAGAGTCCTGCCTGTGAAGTTGCAGCAGAATTCTTAGTATCAGCAGAGGCATTTAACACCCACACTGTATAGGGCAGGCACATCAGAGCTATTTGAGATGAATGCTGACTGGAGAGTTCGGTTCCATGAATGCTAGCCCTGGTTTGCCACACATGTCTGGGAGACCTTGGGCAAGACATCAACCTTTCTGAATTTTTCTCAGCTGTAAAATTTACTTCAGCTAAAACTAGCTCCAAGTATCCCTCCAGCCTTTGTACCCTGGGATCCTCTAAATAAATATTTTAATCCCCAAGAAGTTAGAATAGGGACTAGTTGTTATTAAAAAGTGCTTTGAAACTTAATTTCAGAGGGTCTGTTGGAAGCAAGGAGCAATTTTAAATTCACTTTCTTCTAGGTGTATGAATTAAGGTTTAGGAAAATGTAAAGACTTTTTATTTGTTGGAGTGAAAATTTACATCCTGTTTAAGAGAAGTATGAGACTTTTGGTAATGAGAAAAGCCACAAGTATGAGTGGTACTCCAGAAACTTGATCTATAAGAATTGAAAGGAAATTTATTCCACTGAAGAAAAAAAGGAGTAGCACAGAGGGCTATGACTATATATTCTGTGCACATTTGGATTTGCACAGGGCAGAAGCCCATTTTTGGTTTTCCAACAACGACAATGGAAATGAGCCCGAATTTAATAGAGGAGATTGAAGGTAAACCATAGTTTATACAATCAGCTAGTTTATACTCGTTTTATAATCAGGTGCTGTGAGTTGCTTTTACTGTTAGGTTACATTGAAAAGTTAGAATTCATTCTTAAGTAATTACTCTATGATCAGTTTTGGGGAATACTTTTGTTTCAGTCACTTCAGTTTGATTCAAAGCAATTTCAGTGGTTTTATAAATTTGATTCCATCGTGACCCCCAGATTACAGACATTCCAATCTTGTGGACACCCTTTAACCCCCTTCCTGCAGACTTATTTGCTTGAGGAAAGACTATAAAGTATATCCTTCTTCAAAGAGCAAACATAGTTACCAAAGCGATAGTGGAAACTTTTAGTGGCTTCTCTTGGTTGGTGTTGAAATGTGGTCAATTCTCTCTCCCACTCTTCATTCCTTGTCTCTCTAGAAAGGGAAGTTTAACAGGACTCTAATTTAATTTTGTGGGGTGTAAACTGTTGTTGATGATTGCCAGGTCACTGGAAAATCTTTTTTATTATATCCTTAGGTTTTTGTAACAACTTGTGAGCTGGGCCTTCTTAAAAAATTTCTAGATGCTCTGAGTAGTAAGTGTTCCTTTTCACAGAATATTAAAGTGAAAAATTCTCTAAATTCCAAAGGGCATTCTTCCTGTCCTCTTCTTTTGTTTTCCTTTTCACTCAATTGTTAGAACAATGCGCCTTTCCAAAGAATGCATTCTAGTCTTAAGATCTGTATATTCTTTAAATTATGCATATATATGTATGGGATGCTGGTGGAAGAGAAGGGAACCCAGGCTGGAAGGAGGGTTACTTGGAGGGGGGAGATTGTTACCTATGGCTGTACTTAACTCTGCAAGTTGCCACACCAAAGTGGAAGCAAGGAGTTATTTTCAATTCACTTTCTTCTAGGTATATGAATTAAGGTTTAGGAAAATGTAAAGACTTTTTATTTGTTGGAGTGAAAATTTACATCCTGTTTAAGAGAAGTATGAGACTTTTGTTAATGAGAAAACCCACAAGTATGAGTGGGGTAAGAAGAACTAAAATGCTGCTTCTAACTTACAAATAATTACCCAGCTTTGGGTCCTTTGGAAGAGTTAGGGTTGGTTTTGTGAACCACTAATTAGTTAAAAATCTATACTGAGGTCTTTCATGGTTATAATATAGCTTTTAAAATTATAACTGGCAAAGTCCTATGGGTTTCAAAGTGGGATAGACCTGAAATCCTTTTGGTCTTTGGGATTGAGCTGTTCTCTTCAGTTACAGGAGGGCACACACAGTAAAGTTGGATCTTAATTTATTAATGAAAATACTTTCAGTAACTTAAGGAAAAAAAGAATGAGCAGAACTGAATTTTTGCTCTTTCTGTGCCCCCTTATATCCCACACAAATAAAAGGCAAAAAGAAATTGCATTCTGTAATAGAGATTCTTTCTCTTTTCCTAGGGCACTTCTACAATAGCTCCCAGCTTCAATTCTCTACTCATCGCCAACCTTCTCCCAATTTTTATTTCACTCATGGAGATAAGATGGAGTATACTTTCTAATCATGGAAAGAATATTGCTTTATAATTTTGAAACTAGTAGAAAACCTAAAACATGTTTTTCAAGGCATAGGAGGCTCTCAAAATCAGCAAAGTCCCTCCCAGTCCCAGTATCTCTTGTGAAAGTGACAGTTCATGTTCTCTCTTTTGAGATGCAGTAGAGGAAGGTTCAAAGCCTACTGGAATGATGTTGCATAGGTATGGTCAGGATCCCAACCCAGGGGCATAAAGAGATGAAAAGGATAGTCATGCTATGTCTCCATGTCCTATGCAATAGGGGAGTCACTGGGATACTATATTGCAACACTACCACTGACTTTCCTGAACAGTTAAGAAAGGAAGTATCATCTTACCTGATATGTACCCTGTGGAGAAAGATTGCTTTAAGTGTCTGGGAAAGTTAGATCTGGGGCAATCTGAGACAATTTCACTCAGGTTTTTAGGGTGTTGAATTTGATGGTAAATAGGAAAGGCAGTTACTGTTAAATGGTTCATAGCAGGTGATGGACTAACTGCCAGGAAAAGCAAACCTTGGGAGAACACTTTCATCCACAAACTTAGGAACAACAGGGGATTCTTTTATAATGGGAACACTTTTTTTTTTCCCTTCCAGAAAAGATAACTTTGCTCAAGAGGATCTGGTGAATGAATCAGTGTATTTTCACCTTTGTGAATTGATGGGTATAAGTCTAATGGTTCCATAAAAGAAGAATTACCTTGGGCATAACATACACTTGGTTTGGTCTTGTCCCATAACTGTGCTCTTGTCATGGCTAGTTACCCATTTACATCAGACTGAATCAGGGGTCTGCTGGAGGTAAAAGGTGTTTCAATATGCTCAGGTCACATATTATCTTGGCCAACAGTAATTTTACAGCATTTTCTTAAAATAAACTGCCCTCCTTGCAATAATTTTTTCCCGTGAAGCAAAAGTTCATATGACAGAAAGCTTTACATAAAACTCTTTCATTGGAGCAAAGCATTGGATACCCTTCCTGCCAATCCAATTTTAAAGTATCTTTGTTATTTCTTTTGATATGCAAAAGATAAGAAAAGGCTTGGAGACACCCACCGACAAATGTCTAAATTATTTTAGTTTCTTTGGTAGTGGAGAATTTTGTTACAGCTTTGGTGAATTTTTCCATTTCAAGTGAAACTTGAATAATCAAACCAAAAACATAGTGAAACTTTCCCTCTGTTTAAGAACTTTAAAGGCTGAAAAGTGGTTTGGTTTCCTGACTGCCAGCTTTGGTTTGTCTTTTCTAAGTGGTCTTGTGCAGTTCCCCAGTAGAAACATTTGAAGAGTGTTCTTCTCCCACATGAGAGAGTTTCATCCCACACAACCAACAGATTTTGATGACAAACTTCATTGCACCAAGTATCTGGTTTTCCAGAAGTGGCTGTGGAGCACAGGTGCACAAACACTCATTCTCAGAAATAAGATACCACTCTTTAAAAATGAGGGGAACTTAAACACTGGGTATCTCTATACTATCTGGGTGCCAAACAAGTAGATTTTAGTGTACTAGATGAAGTAAGAAAGAGAGTGTGACAAGCAGGGTTAAAATTTCCAAAGCCTTCTAGCTGTTCTTTCTTTATAACCGTCTGGTGTACACAGAAGCATTGTATAATCTGGCCTGTATTTTTCTCTTGCTGTGAAACATATTGAAACGCTTTATGTTTAGGTGTGTGTATAGAAATTCATGAAGTTCTTTTATACACTTTCTTAGTTCCAACACAATTCTCATTTCAGGACGTCTTGAAAAGATAGCTTTGTGAGCACTTTCTGCCCAGCTTGTAAATTTGGATTTGTTCTTTTCTATCTACCAGACACCTGATTACTGTCCCTGCAAAGGGCACCCGTTCACATCATTTTTTCCAACTGCTTAAACCTGGAAAGATATTTTTTAAAGGACTCACAGAAGCTGTCTTGGGGGTTTGGAAAACATGGCAAAATTGTTAGCAGACCTTTTGACTGTGCTATTTTTAGGGCACTAATTGTGCTCTTTTAAAGTACATTTTTGACAATGGGACAAAGTATTTCTTGCTCCTCTCTGTACCTGAAATGAAAAAGTCAGTAAAGCACCCCAAACAGATACATTTTAACCTCAGCAACAGTCAGCAACGGGGGATAGGTTAAAAAGAAAACTTTTTTTTTGCAATATTTATGCCACTGTTTCTGGCCAAAATGACTTTTATTTTACCGTTCAAACAGAAGTTTGTTTTCAAACCAGTTGCTAGTTAAAGGAGCAGTTGATCTGGCATCCATAAGAATCAGCTCTAACCAAACAGTAAGCATGGTGACCGCAGGAGACTCAGTCCCCTACAGCAACCCCTCGGAGGTCAGACGCCGGCAGAAGTGTTATCTTACCTTCAGCGTGTAAGGTCCAGGGAGAGAGGCTCAGGGGCTCCCACAGGAGAGGACCGGGAAAGTGCTCTGATCCGCAGCGGCTAACATGCACTTGGCTTTTATGGGCAGGTGGGAGGAGCTGCTCCTCATGGTAGGTGGGCAGGGAAGGGGCGGCGGGCGGGCAGCCCCCGGGAGGAGCTGGACACTCTTCTCTGGGGAAGGGTGGAGAGGGCCGAGCCGGGAGCCCGACAGAGGGAGGAGAGATGGGGGGGTGGGGGGTGCGGGAGCGGAGGAAGTAGTGGAAGCGAGAGAGGGAGGGAGGAAAAGAAAGAAAAAACGAAGAGAAGAGAAATAGAGAGAAAGGGATGTAGACCACAGATAGGGAAAGAATTGGGGAGAAAATGACTAGGAGACAGCGAAAGATACGCAAACACGCACGATCTAAAAGGACAGGGGAATTGCATTAATTTACGTGTCGTATTTTCCATTTTTTTTTTTTTTGCACGGGGGAATTATGGATGATTTATTACTAAAGGTGTTCTGTGTGAATTTGAAAAGCTAAATGCGGTTTAGGAAAACTGCAGGATTCATAAAGTAGCGAAGGAGGGGGATCTGGGCGTCTGAGAAGCCAAGCCAGCTGCCGGCAGACGCGCGCTGCTCAGTGCTGAGGGGACCTCAGCCGCCGGGGCTCGGGTGCTCCCCTGCGCCCTCAAGCCCAGTCCATCCCGCGGCCAGTAGGTGAAACCCAGCCCCATCCCGCCTCACTCCCGGCATTAGTTACTGTCCTTGTGCTGCCTTATATTGTTCAGCATCCAAAGGCCGCAGTTAGAGAATTCTGCAGCATTGAGGTAAATCCAGGCAAAGGTTGGGGAGGTTCAGGGGAGATTGGCTTGGGGAGAAAGGAGCCTCAAAACCAAGCCCCGGTCCTCCACCATCTGCTTATGTAACAGGATTTCAGGGCTCTCTGCCCTCTGGTTATTTTCGGTATTTAAAAAACTCTCATTCCTTACAATTGGAAAATATCTTGGTGCCCTAGCTCTGTGTGTGTGTTAAACACAGTGGATTCAACCAACGTGGGACTTAAGGATCAGGCTGAAATTCTTAAGAAGTACATCCAGAGAAAGAAAAACAAGCTCCTTTAGCTGTGAATGGTGACTCACTTCCCAGCCTAAGCTTGATTTTTGCAAAGGAATTAAAGCATTTGAAAAGAGAGAACCAGAGAGGGGTGGGTGGGCTGGGAAGAATAAAGGGACTTTTACTGAATAGAAGTACATATAACTCTTACCATATACATATATACACACATATATATACACATATATATATACACACATATAAAACCATATATAACTACACAAATATACATGCATAATTTATTCAATGTACACCACAACCTTATGAGGTAAGTATGATTTTTATGGTGTAGATTTTTTTTTTTTTTAAAGAAAGGAATCTCTAAGGGGTTAAGCAGCCAGCCAGCTCAAGCTAACAAGAGGGGTCACATAATTCTTTATTGTAGGGTCCTCTCCTGTGCATTGTAGACTGTTGGGTAGTATCTCTGACCTCTACCCATGAAATGCCAGTTAGTAACAGCCCCAGCTCCCCGGTTGTGAAAATTGAACATGTCCATACACTTAACGTGTCGGGGAGATGGATTCTATTTAAGAGTCATTGGTCTGGAGAAGATCCACAACTGTAAAAAAGAATTTTAAAGAAATCCATTAAGAAATGCTTGTGAGTGGCATTTGGGTAATAATAATACTGCCATATGTGCTAAGTTTACACTGGAATTAGCTTTTACATATTCATATCCCCATCTGTCTGCCTCTAAAGCCCCAAACCTCAATTACTTCCTTTGTAACTAAGTTTATTCTCAATTGGATACACCTGGGAGTCAACAAAGTCGTGCCCCAAGTGCCTGGAGAATAAAAGGGAGATTAATGATATATGAAATGAAAAATTTAAGATCTTTATCATAGGCACAAATCTGACAGTAGAACAGTTATCCAGATCTTACTCATAATCTTTTTCCATCTCTTTGCCCCCTATTCAAATTATATTCAGTAACTGTTTGGTTGCGAAGAAGTGATACTGAGTAGTTAATTAGTTAAGAGGATGTAAGTGACTAATTGAATAAATGGAGCTGTTGAACACTCACACATAGTGAGTGACGATTATTGATTAGGTTCACAAACTGATAAAATGAATAAAAGTGAACACTTAGAAAGCTAAATCTTTCACATTGATTTTCCTGCCCATTTGCTATTTGGTTTTACTCTCCTCTCACCCACTACAACTCAGTTTCCCCTCTTTCCAAACAGTATGTTAGTCTTTTGAAAATATGGCAAAACCCATTTTTAAAAGTCTATGAAATGAATAACCCTTGTTCCTGGACCTAGAGGTAGGACTTCATTGACTGTTCAAGTGCTGAGTTCTGAAATCAGATGTATCACTTCTGGTACTTTTTAATTTAATCAATAAACATGTTGGCAAACTAAATAGGACCCTGTTAAAGGGCCATCTGGGTGATAAGCACAGTAGTATATATCCTCTTACATTACAGCAAATCCTCTTTATTTTTAAATTGAAGTAAAATTGGTTTACAACACTGAATATAATCGAGAGGTTTAGGATCACATCATCTTTTTGATTCTGCATCTAGTTCCATCACATCGTTATGGAAAATAGAACAATAAAGGAAGAAAAGCACATTTGAAGGGAAGGCAATTGATAGTTGTATTTTTCTTTTCCTTTTCTTGCTTCCTTTCTTCTTTCAAACTTGATTATCCAGTGAACATAGTAACAAGAAAGCTTGTTTCTTTTTCTTGGATGGTGCTAATGATTAGTTCATTTCTCTAGTTTACACTTGTCTGAATCTGATTTAGTAGCATATCTGGACAACAAGTCATGAATCCAGGAATGCGGTCTCTTTGGCGACTCTCAGCGTACTCTTTGAGACTCTCTCTGAAGGTGACTGAGGTTTGAAATGACCTAGTTTGGTCTTCTGTGGAAAGAAAGGAATCCAACGGCAACATACTAGATGCTCTGAAGTTTCCATCGGGTGAATATAATAACAGCCACAGATAATTGCCTATATTCAAGAGCTTTGAAAATGTAAACTTTTTTTTGGCTTATTTAGAGCTAAGCAATTAACAAATATTTATTAAGAATAAATACGGGCCTCCCCAGTGGCGCAGCGGTTGAGTGCTGGGCTGCGAAGCTGCCCGCAGCCTCTGCAGCACAGGTTCGATCCCCGGCAGCCGGGCGAGGGTCACACATGGCGCGCAGACCTCTCCTGCCGCACACTGCTCCCCTCAGCAGTGTATTTCGTCAGTCTGCCTGTTCTCTTCCCCACTCTGGCTCTGGTGAATTCTCTCACCCTCCCATGCTTCTGACTGTACCCAGTGCTTGTATAAATAAATGAATAAATCTTCAAAAAAAAAATTGATACAGTTGGGGGTATTCAAAGCAGAGGAAAACAAGAATGCAGATCTGTTCTATGGAAGAAATAAAAGCATCTCATCCTTTTAGTTGGGTAGCAAAGAACTTCAGGGAGATGGTATTTGAGCTGACCCATGGATACAGCATTTGGTAGATGGGTGAACAGTAGGGCAAGAAGGGAATGTGTGCAACTGGGAAAATCACAGGGACATTTGGAGGATGGTGAATTGATTCAGCATGACTGAAGGGAGGGGTCTGTGTAGCAGAACAATGAAGTTTAGAAGCAGGAAAGGAGACGTGGGATCAGCCTGTGGAAGGCCTTAAATGTTACCTCACTAGTCTGAACTGTTTCCTGTAGGCAATGAGGGGTCATTGAAAACTTTTGCATAGTAGAATGGGATAAGGGAAGAAATGACTTATTAATGAGAATTCATTTTTCTTTGAATATGGTCTGTATAGTAGTTTCACAGATAGATGCTTGCTGGTACATGCAGGGCCATTAACATACTTAGAAATAGAGAAAACTGGGTGTCTGTATCCTGCAGACATAGAGTCCTGAGAAGATAGCTGAAACAGATGGTTCTAGAGTGTCTCCATAATGTCCTGAGTGGTTGTAACCAGATAGGAAGGCTAGATCTGCAGGGTGCAGCCAGGATGACAGATGGGATTAATATGAGGGGTGACCTGGTCTGTGGGTCAGAGGAATAAGTCTCTTTACCTGTTGTAGCTTTGAGGTCATTGGAAAGTATCTATTTCCAGCTAATAGGTGTGCTGTATGAGATCTTTTCAGGGGTCCCTGGGTTAGAAAACTATGGAACCTGGCATAAAAGCTTACTCTCAAAAAAAAAAAAAAAACACCAAAAAACAAAAACCAAAACCATTTTCACACCTATGTTTTCAAACAGCTAACTTTCAGCCATTTTGTGTGTTATCCTTGGCAAATTTCAACCTCCAATTCTTTCTGCCATTCCCTAGTGCTTCAAAATGCAAATAAACATGACTTTTGGCCTAGGCGAAAAATCACTGACAATTTGAAATATGATGTACAGAAATTTGCTCTCCATTTATCAAATGACCTATCAGTCAGTCAGCCTAAGCTTGTGCTAAATTTCACCAAATATGATCTTGGCCTGCAAGGTACATACAATTGCCAGCTCTCCCAGGGTATTTAAAATAGGGCTTTATTTACAAAAATTGAAAAAGGTTTACAGCATAGAAGAAGGGCACACCTCTTTGCATTCCAGAGGAACGTTGGGTTCTGTGAGTCACTGTTTTCCTTTTGGCCCAGATGTAGAGAGCTGACTGACTCGGGTGATCCACAGATGACTGCCTTTCAGCTCCTGCTGGCTTTATAAAGAGCACTGGATGGAGAGTTAGGAAATCTGGGTTTAGTCCCAGCTCGGCCACTAACTGCCCGTGAAAACTTGGGGCAGATGTTTTATCGTTATTGGATACAGCGCCCTGTGCATAAAATAAGGTACTTAACCAGACATTCTCTAAAGTTCTTTCCACCTTTCAGATGCCTATTCTGTGCCAGTCAAGGGATTCTCTTCTTACTCAACATCCCCGTGAAGTCCACACATGTCCAATATTAGGTACGGGAGTTTGAGCTCATAATGCATTAGTCCGGTGTCTACTATAA